GGGGGGTCCTCTGCGGATCCATCCCAGCTCCGTTAGATCCGTCATGAATGGGCTCTGTGTGAACTGGGCCTCCCTTTCGTTTTGGACGCTTTCCAGCCACTTTTGGACGCTTTCTTTTATTCTCTAAACTCACTCACTCACCAAAAACTACTACCAGCATCGTATTTTCAGTTAGATTGGTAAAATGGTAGTCTAAAATCCTGAAAATGACATAAAACGTGTAAATCTGTATTAACATCATTATGGGAAAGAAAAGTGAAAGTAATCTTTGCTTAATGTTTACAATAAGAGGCCCCATCCAACCCTCTTTTTGGTTTGTTGGCATTCCTGTGGCCCCCTGAAAGTTTGTTTAAAGACTTTTGACCCTGAATTCCTCCCCCAAAGCCTTCTATCACCCCTCCCCCATCTGCCAGCTGCTCCATGGAGTGGAGCCTAAACAATAATTAACTCGATATAATTATTGTGTGAGTCTCATTTTTTTTCCGTAGCCCACTGTGTTTCCCTGTGAGGACTTCGATGTGGTGGCAGACATCAAGGCCATCCGAAAAGCCTGCAAAGGGTTCGGTAGGTCGAGGACATCCTTGATGATTTTTTAAAAAATGGATGTTTGTCAGGAGCTTGGAGAGGATAGATGAGCATCCTGTGCCTGGTTGGTCTCGTCCTCTTGCACAGGAACCGATGAGCAGGCCATCATTGACATCTTGGCGAACCGCAGCTCTGCTCAGCGTCAGGAGATCAAACAGGCCTATTTCGACAAATACGATGACGTGAGCGCCGCTGGCCGCCGCAGGGGGGGCAGAAAAACAAGCGTTTCAGCCTCTGTCTGTGAGTGGTAAAGTCCTTCTGTCTGTCTGTAGGAGTTGGTGGATGTGCTGAAAAAAGAACTGTCGGGGAACTTTGAGAAAGCCATCCTGGCCATGCTGGACCTGCCGGTCATCTACGCGGTGAAGGAGCTCAGGAAGGCCATGAAAGGAGCGGGGACCGACGAGGACGTGCTGGTGGAGCTCCTCTGCACCGCCACCAACGCGGTACGCTGGAGAGATTTCTGCCAAAAACTCGCATGCTTTTACAGTCAAGACACCCAATATGTCACCATTCATTTAGAAGCACTGTGGATGTGGATCTGGTGAAGAAATATCAAACTTTTCTTTCATTTTCAACAGGACATTGCCATGTTCAAGGAATGCTACTTTCAGGGTGAGTCAATAAGTCGTTGAAAGGGTAAAATGAATTTACTTTAACCTCTTACTCAATAAGTTATGACATACGAGTGTTTCCTGTCACTGTATTGTGAACTCTTGAGGAAGAGGTGACTCATTTTGTCGGTAATGCACTTTGTATAATCCTATTTTTGTCCCTTCTTCCGTCTTATGAGGGGTCACATTTTGTTTAGTCAAGGCCCATCCTGCTCCCACTTCCCTTCACAGTGATGTCCGTGCTGATAGCTGATTATATTTTCCTACTGGGGCTTTATAATGTCAATGCTCCGGGATGTTTTTGCCTCTGAAATCTTCACTTTGCAACAGAAACCTCCTGTCTTGTGCTCAAATTGGAATATATACCAGCTACGTGCTAGTTAGCTTAGCAAAACTGGCTAGGCTTCAATTTGTCTCATTCTTTGTGAAAGTGGCTGATAGGGTTCTCTTTGTTTCGTTCTTGGTTTCTGTCTGGTAGTGCATGAACGTGACCTGGAGGCCGATATCGAGGACGATACGAGCGGGGATGTCAGAAACCTCCTCACAGCTCTTTTGCAGGTAAGTGGCCTTGAGTTTCTACTCGGCTCGTGTAACTGGATTCCTCTCATCTATCCCTGGACTGAAATCGAGCTCACTCTCCCTGTTCCCAATCCTGCCCCTTAAACGCACACACACACACTCACACACACACTGGCCGCCGTCCAAACAAACTCTCATTTGTGAAACGGAGGGCGGATCATGTTGCTCCGGGCAGACAGAAAGGCCTCAACGAAGAAATTCTCTTTTTCCAGGGGGGCAGAGATGAAACTTACGAGGTGGACGAGGAACTGGCCGAACAGGATGCTACAGCCCTGTTCGAGGTAACGTCTTAGATTCGAACTTAATCGTCACGCCGGCTTCACCTGAAATTGATCCGCGCTGATATTTGCTCATCTCGCGAAGGCTGGCGAGAACTGCTTTGGGACAGATGAGTCCACCTTCACACACATCCTGGCAACTAGAAACTACCTACAGCTCCAGGTCACCTTCAAGATATACGAGCAGGTATCTGTTATCAAACCGCAGACATGTTGCTTATCCGTTTACTGAACGTGAACCTGTGGGTCAGCTGCTTTACCTGTGGGAACATCACAGCTTCTGGATGATGGAAAGACTGAGACTCTGAGTTATTTCTCTTTGTAGCTTTCTGGGACTGAAATCCTGGACGCCATAGAAAACGAGACTTCGGGGACTCTGAAAAAGTGCTACATTGCTCTCGGTGAGTTGAAATCAGAGCATTATACTAAAAGATTGTTTGTGCTATGGCTAAATGTTAACAACGACCACATAGAAGTATTAGATTGTTTTGATTCTAGCAAAAGACTTTATGGACCGCGTTCGATTTTCTGGGGGGAGGAAGACCTGCCTTTTGGCAAAATAAGAGTCAAATGAACTTCATTGGTACCCAGTGAACCCTTTTTTTCCTCCCTGCAGTGAGAGTTGCTAAGAATCCTCAGCTCTACTTCGCCAGACGTCTGCATGAAGCAATGAAGGGAGTAGGCACTGATGAGGACACTCTGATTCGCATCATTGTGTGTCGCTCAGAGGTAACCACGATGGCAATGACTGGAGGACGTGAGGAATAAAAATAGTCCCGTTTCATGGCAAATCTAGCAATCGATTCCTTTAGATTGACACAAGAAAATATAAACAAGGCTGTAAAATGATGCACGCACCCACACGTTTCCCTCTCCAGCACAGCCATGTTTATTAAGTTTACTACTTCTAGAGTAGAAATTGGGTGTCTTGTTTAAAAGAAGACATAAAGACACATGTGATCAGAAGAATTGCCCTTTTAAATGTTCAGAAATGTGTTAATTACATAAAAAACAGAAGATAAAGACTGATGATGAACTGTAAAAATGAATTATTCTGTTCTTCACTTCTGTGGATCAGACAGTCCTAAACAGTGCCCAGTAGAACTGATTTATTAGATAAAATCACAAAACGTGATGAAAACCAGGACGCACGACAAACACAACATACACAACCTCCTGCTCTACAGTTCAGTTTGACTTTACTGAAACGACTGCATTTAAAAGGACTTTTCTTTTTTCTTTGTGACCAACAGTTTGATTTGGAGACCATCAAAGACATGTACCTGGAGAAGTACGACGTGTCTCTAAAGGACGCCCTGCGGGACGAGTGCGGCGGCGACTTTAAACGCCTCCTGCTCGCCATCTGCCACTGAGCACCGAGCGTTTTAACTCTCTAACAAACTAACTAAACTCAGCCTGTAGGAGCAGGAGGGCGGGGAAGAGATGGGATTATTTAGATCTCCAAAGCGAGTGTCTGTGAAAGTCTGTGGCTCTATTTTTCCTTCTTTTTCACAGGCAGGACTCATCAATCTGGAGGTCCTTCTGTTACTGCCCCTTTATCCCGTTTTTACCAGGGGGTTATTTTACCAGAGCACCAAGATTTCTGTGTTTCCAACATAAATAGGAGTCAGCTGGAGTCACACGGATCCAGTTGCTGTGGGTGATTAGCTCAGTCGGTCATTTTAAACCTGAGCCACCCTTTTTAGCCTCAGCATGACCCACTGCTGCAGGTTCACGCCAAAGTTTTGTATGCTAGCCTTTATGGAGGAATTTTAATGTTAAATCAAATAATTTGTATCAGCTTTTTCCCCCTCCTTGCCCCAAACCACTGTTACTCTTCACTGCTCTTAAGATTTATGCAATCACCCCACCATGTGGCTTAAAGTCTGTGCTTTGAGATGAAGAAATGTCAACGTTTGTTTTGATTGACTATCAGTTAGAATCATGCAGAATATGAAGTATGTGGCTGAATAACTCAGCAGTTTTCACCGCTCACCTGCATCAGTCTATATAATTTATCCTTTTTTTGCTGAAAACAAATATTTTTATTTACAATGTTTTTTTTATTCTGTGCAACTCCAATAACTTGACAAATCCAAGTAGTTAAGAACATATTTTATGTATCATGATTAATGAAGAGCAGATTTAATATATTATAGCATTTACCTGGAGGCCAGAGGTTATGTGTGAAAGGCAACCTGATAATAACAATGTTGAGCATGTAACATCTGGAAAGTGTAATGTCTTGTAATGTAATGTCATTTGTGTGTCTGTTTTTGGAAGCTTAGATTTGTTATTATAAACCACTACTTTCAGTAAGCTCAGCACGAGATATTTACAACCTTGCCATCAGTTGTTTGCCTTTCTGTAGCCAAATCATTTTAATCCGACTACTAATAAAGTCTATAGTAACACTTCATTTGTGCTCTTATTTATTTCCAATTTTTTATTTTTTTCAGATATACATAGGAAGTTGAGATGCTTGAATAGCTTCCCAAAAGAAATAGTGTGTTGTGAAGTCATAAGGATGTGGAGAGTAGGTTTATATGTTTTCTGTGTCTTTATTTAAAAAAAACTCACCTACTGTCAAGTGTGCATTAATTCAATTTTTCGAACACAGCAGATTTGGAAGTAAAAGGTGTTCCTCTCCCATGTCCATGCTCCTGCATATGAGTAGGCTTGTAAACTTTAAAATTCACCCTTACTATTGTAGGAGTTTAAAAAATATGACTGCATAATAGAATGTCTGCTGTCAGTTCTGGAACTATAACTAGCATATTTAATGATAGATCGATCAAAGCTTCTTTTTTTGCATTTTACCCCCATATCCTTTCAACTCTCATACTTGGCCATTTATACATGAATAGGTTTTTTGCGTTTGTTTTCTCTTTGACACGTAAGGCCGAAAACGTGCAAAGATTCGCTTTTTCTTACGTTTTAGTTGTTTCTAAACTGTCCGACGTTCTGCAGAGCACTTGAAGGCGGCGCTAGGCCCCGCCCCTCTGTCAGACATGCCTCTGGCACCCCGCCGCCTGTATCTGTTTATATTTAGGATCAGCGGGGCGTTTCTTACTAGGTGAGAATTTAGCTCTCAGCGGTACGAACACGGGAGCGTTAGAAACGCCACTTTTAACCTCTGGACTCGCTTGGAGGTACGTTTCTCTGCGTGTGTCACTGTCTTTTTTATTTTTTGTGGTCCTTTTCCTATATTCATACCGGTCAATTACAGTCATTAGCGTCCATCTTGGTTGTTGCTAATTAGAACCACAACAAGACGAGATGCTTGGTCCTCGTTATCTTTTTGTTATTACACCTTTTTGTGCAGTTATTGTGACGTTTATAACTAATGGCATGCAGAATATTTTCTAGTTATACATGTACCACTATGAAATGTTGCAGTAATAACAATTTAGAATGAACAGGCCTCAAGGCTTAAATGTGCTGATAATTGGGAGTAAATTGAGAAAAAATAATGGATATCTGCTGATGCAGCAAGCATAGGTTAAACAAATGAGTCAGTTGTTTTTAAAAATAAGCTATCACTTAAAAAACTGAACATGTATGCCTACTTCCCTCTGTATACAGTGTGACATGCAGCACCTAAACGCACCACTGCCAAATATTTTACTAAAACCTGACTCATGATTTGTTGCACGTGTTCATTCAGATTTGAACCTGTTGTTAAGCAGTGCATGAGCTTATTTTCCCGTTTCGTAAGTGAAGTTTACTGGAGGATCTAAAAAGTGATTTATGCTTTGATTATGGCTCAAATCACATTTTGAAAAATACCTGCTCTGTTCAGCCGCTGAAACAGCTTTTATTTGTGTGAGGAAATCCTGTCAGCCTTAAACGTACCCACAACACACAAGTGCAAAAGATTTGATTCCACTGAAAACAGCCGAACACGAGCACATTTATGTGCTGAATTTCATTAGTCAGATATAATGGAAAAAAATCTATCCTGACTGACAGTCCAGTTGACATTTGTAATAAATGATGAAAACACAAGCAAGACACTATGGAAAATGTAAACGTATAAAACAGCACCACACAATTTTAACTGCCCATCATTTCTGGAATATTCCTCATTATGCTTAATTTATTTATTCATCCTGTTCTAATAAATTTGTGAAGGTAAAACATCATCCGCCTGTTTGGCTCTGTATTAATATATGACTTACAGGTAACATCTGTTATCTATGGAAGCCCGTTTCTGCCAAAAAAAAAAAATCTCATTATAATGAGATACTATCTCAAAATAATGAGATAGTAGCTCAAAATAATGAGATATCTCATTATTTTGAGATACTATCTCATTATAATGAGATATCTCATTATTTTGAGATACTATCACATTATAATGAGATATCTCATTATTTTGAATGAGATACTATCTCATTATTTTGAGATAGTATCTCATTATTTTAAGATAGTATCTCATTATTTTGAGATACTATCTCATTATGAGATACTATCTCATTATTTGGAGATACTATCTCATTATAATGAGATTATTTTTTTATTTTTTTTTAGCAGAGTGGCGGAACCGGGCTTCCATAGTTATCACATCAGCTTTGAAACAAAATGGATCAATTTTATAAGTTTGGTTTTGTCACACAGGCAGTAAACTTTTAGTGTTTTCACTCTACAACAAAATGTATCATTAATAAGAATTACTGCATGTAAGCATGTGCAAAAATTGAAGACCTGAGCAATTAAAGTCAGCAGAGAGGAAGCAATATATAGCACAGCGATCGAATGACAAAGGGTGTTCAGTCAGAGGTTTCTTCAGCCGCACTGCAACAAAAGGCCATTCCCGCCAGCAGCAGTAACTAGCTTTCCTTTTTCCCATATCCAGGTCTGAGGAATGTCGTCCGTTTGGCACCAGGAGCCGTCGGGTTATTCGCCCTGTGTGGAGATCGACTCCAGCTCGGTGAGGACCAAAGACCGCTTCGGCTCTCCGGCCTGGCTGAAGCAGGAGCACGACGACCTCCGAATTATCAAGTGGGAGAATTTCCAAACCGGAGCCTCTGCAGATGCCGTCCAGGACAACACGCCCAGCAGCGCCATGTCTGGTGAGAGCAAGCTCAGGATGTCGGTAGTTTTCATGGTTTCAGTCTGAAAAATAGCTCTAAAGAGTTAAAGTTTGTAGCTTCTTAGTTAGTAATTAGATATTTAATGTTAGAATTGGTGTTTCAATCACATGTTCTCAACTAAGCTCAGGTTTAGGAAACATGGTTCTACCTGAAGTGTCCTACTTGATTGAACTTGTTTGCAGCTGGCTCGCATGTGGACGGCCTGCCCCCTAAGGTTCTGCTAACCATCACCAAGCTGCAGTGCATGCTGGAGAGCAAACAGGAGCGCATCGTGGCCCTGGAAAGACAGGTGGAGGACCTTATGCAGGACCGCAAGTTTCTGCGCAGCCAGATCGAAAACCTGACGAGCAGTCGCTCCATGGCCGCGTTCGCCTCCCCCGGTCCAGTCCCCGAAGGTCAGTGCCCAAAACAGCCTCCAAATGGTGAAATGAACTGCATTATTATGTCAGTCTTGTTTATGTTTCTTGGATCATACACAGGTCCGAAATCGAACAGGGTGCAGCATTCGGAAAACAGATCTCGAAAGCGAGAAAGGGCCTCTTCTAGTTCCTCCGCCAGCAGCGCCAGCGGTTCAGAAGCGTCTGACTCCTCGGAGGTGTCGGCAGCCTCAAGTGAGCACAGGCGGAAGAAACACCATAAGGACAAGAAAAGATCCAAGAAGGGGAAGGACTACAGCAGGAAGAGAGGTAATGAAATTTTAGGAGGTTTAGGTAGGACCTGCTTGGTAACACACACCTGAAATCACAACACCGTCATCTCGAGCTGGGGAGGAGGAGGAGTCTCTATAGTTTGGGGAAAATTTAAGATGAACAAAAGCAACGAATGAACCACAAGCTGTAAATCCAGATGTCACGACTTTTTTTCTTCTGTTTAGTACAGGAGTAAGCTCATTGAATATGGAGAGACATCTGCAGAAGCAAGAAAATAATTTGCTATGAAATCCATTTACTGTGTACTTGGAAGACTAGGCCACACATTTAAAGGCCACACTAGGCCACATATTTAAAACCAAATGAATTCAGTTTTATTGATAAAGCACCTTTCAAACACAAGTAATACATAGAAGCTCTTTGGAAGAGGTGAGTTTAAATGTGATGTGTGTAAGTCCCCAACCAAGCAGGGAGCCAGTTTCATGTTGGAGGTGTTTCATTTCAGGGAACAAGAAGCAGACCAAATAACGGAGAAAAGAGTTCCTGTGGGTTGATGGGGAACAATAAGATCATTCAGATAAGTAGGAGCTGGGTCACTCAGGGTTGAATTCCAATCTAAAGTCCAGAGGGAGCCGCTGTACCAACTGGAGAGATAAGATGAGCTGGATGTACCAGCCAGTGCTGTGACCCCTGCATTTTTCATTCATCCAAAAGATCTCCCAGGAATCAATAGAACATCATTGTATTAAAAAAAATCAAAAGTCTGCCTGTAACCTTTGTGAAGACTGTACAGTATATCATGGTTTACTTTGGAAACCCTAAAGGGGTTGAAAAGGAAAATGATTAATAATCCTCTAACGATGTGATTATATCAGAGGATTCGGATGGGCAGCATGTCATTTGTCAAGCCATATAAAAAGTTACTGGATATTGATCGTGTAAATTTTATACATTTTTCTCATTCTGGTAGTTACTGTACAACTGAAAAATGTGCATTGTTTGTGAGAAGAATTTCAAGTAAAACTGTAAAGATAGTTCACTCAAATATTTGTATCGAATGTTCTGACTATCTTCACCACCCACTCATTCTCTAATGTCATGTCCTTTCAGCCACCGGCGTCCAGTATGTCATCCATCGCTACAAACAAGTCTTATCTACCTTCATCAAGAAGAAAAGCATGAGTGAAGCCTTCCGTCATCTCGGAATCGACCGGAACACCATCGCCAACACGGCTTCCATTGCCGAGCTCCATTTGGCCGGCAAGGACATGGTCCATTTAGTGGGCATGTTTCGGCAAGGGGAAGAGACTCTGGTCAGCTATGCCCAAAGATGCACTTTAGTCATTGACAGTGATTCTGAGCTTGCCAGAAAAATAGACCAGATGAAGGTGGATGGAGAGCTTCTGCCCATCTCAGGGAAAAGGTCCAGAATGTTGCATTCTCACCTGCAGCCTCTGGGGGCGGCTGCAGAAAGCATTTTAATAGGTTAACGCTAAGTCAACTGCACAGAAAGGAGGTGGAACTTGTTGCCTTTTAATTAGAATTAATGATTTGTCATTCTTTTAATTTAAGCGGCTTCATTTTAGCCCTTTTAAGTAGCATTTTCTTCAGTCGAGTTTACATATCAAAGAGACCAAATTTTTAAAACTATAGTAGATTTTAGTATTCTGGACATGTCGTGGTTGTTCTTTTTTTGTTTCTACTTGGTATAAAAAGTTGTTGGTGGCAAAGATAACTTTTTGATTTTGTGTAGTAATGTAAAGACCCACCAGATGGCAGTGCACACCTTCAGATGGCAAATCACTTCTCCTGCCATTTATTTCAAAATGGTGGATTGACAGGAAGCCTTTTCCAGCACTTGAGTTTTAAATTGTATTTATGTTGTTTGTTTAAAGGATTTTCATCCATTTGTCATACCTTTGTTTGTTTTCACAATTGAAATACCAACAACAGTTCTTCAGATGTTCAGATGCTCAGTTTTGTGTCTGGACAGAGTGGAAGTGTCCTCTACCAGATAACAGTGACATATTATATATTTGAGAGGCTGCAATCACTTGAAACGCCTTCAACACAAACACTGATCTCTTTTCCATCTGTCCTCTGTACGCTGAAATGTGACTGATAACTCAGACTTGTGCAGGTGTACAGTTTGTTTGAGGCACAGCTTTTGCCCCCTGAGGAGTGGGCAGCACCAGTTGTGCGGACAGCTTGGTGAGACACCCTTGGCTGATGGTAAGTGGTAAGTGTTTCCATTGCCTCTCCTGCTCTTTGCTTTTTGCAGAGTGACAAATTGATTGTGAAAGCCATTATGGGGGCTACACCTGCGCGGTTTATCTTTGCACGGGACTCTGTCATTGTCACTCTGATTTGCAAGCTGGCTATCTGCTTATCTTTCACTCTCAAAGCCCAATCTGCTCGCCCCCTCCTCCTCAAAGCCCACTCTCCACTGTTATGAACTCATTAAGTCATTTCTCATTACGTATCAGTCCTTCACTTCCTCGTCCCCCTCATTTTCATTGTCTTATCTTTTAACCCAAAAGGTGGTCAAGAGGTTGAAAACGTCTCACGCCAACCCAGAGAGCTGTGACAGATCCAGAGTTCCTCTCGCCGCCCGAGGGGACAGGTGCATGCTGGTTTGCTCAGTAGTGCATGATGGAAAGTGGTGGGTGCATGTCTGCCAGCTCTATCCATTCCCCTCCTCCTGAGGCATGCAAATGTCACTTCTGCTTTTCTTGTCAACACCAGAAGATTTGTCGCGTTTTAAAAAAAAAACGAAAACATAGGGAGACACCGCATTTCGGCACAGAGCATCATTTGGTTAGCTTGTCTTCTAAAAGGCTAAAGGTACAGCTGCAAATATTCCGGAGTGGAAAGGGTGAATTTGGTCCTAATGACTGGGGGTGATGGAGCTTGGAGCTGATGGAGGCTATGATGTAGGCCTAATCGAGCCTGAAGCATTCTTCCCTCCTCCCCAGCTCACTTGTGAGGCCAGCTGGGACTCCATTTTGTTCCTTTTCTGGCTGCAGGTGCCACGTCACTGCTGAGTGTCTCCATGTCCGATTGGTACAAAATTCAGTCCCCTCCTTCTCCCTGTTTTTGACCTTGACAAAAAAGAGCATCTGGATATTCTCACATAACGAAGCTTGTAATAACCACTAATGTCTCAAATATGTCTGAACTTGTGAATTGAAATGGACTGTCATTTTTTCACATGGACAGGATGTACCTGCCATATAAAATAGATACATACATACATTATGCAAAGAATCACCTCGCCTGAAGTCGAGCTAATGAACAAATTATTTTCATGTTTTACTCATGTAAGTGAGAATCTAATTCTTTTATATGGATTTGTTCCTATTTGTAAGCACAACAACAATTTTCTCCACTATCAGAAGTTACCAATACACTTTATTAGAGGCTCATGCTGAAAGGGTATTATCAACAGCGAGCTAAATAACTTATGTTTTCTGTGCCATTTGTTTGTTCACTCTGTAAATCTGCACACTGATTCAAGAAAGAGTGATTTCAGGAGACACATAAGTGTAGAATAAATAGTATATTGTTAAAAAAGATGTCATATTGGTGTAATTTTAGGCAGCATAGTAAGAATCTGGTGTATTATGTGTTTTATGGACTTAAACGCAGCCAGTTGAGCTGTTTTCTCTCTTAAAGATGAGATTAAATGCCTGTTGTTTCTGACCTTATGTTCTTGTATTGACTTTGAGAACAATCAAGGACTTGATTTTTCAATTAATGCAGACTCCAAGTTACCCTGTTGTTTAATGAAAATAGAAAAAAAACTCTCTGATGCATTCCCCTGAAGCAGACAGGACACATTTCTAACATGATGCTTTGACTGCAGGCAGCAGAGCTATGCAGCTCTGGAAAGCCGCATGCTTCGGCAGCAATCTGCCGCAACGTCAGTAACTTACTCAAATCTAAAAAAGAATGGACAGTCAGTTTGGATATTAACTCAAGTTTCTTCACCTTTTGTTAGCCTCTGCTCTCCTGTTAATGAAATCTTAAAATAACCTGATATCCGCCGTAAAAGTGGGTCAGAGCCCCATTGTTACACGGATTCAGTGCACGAGCATCAAGTGCATTGTGGGTATGTGCCCCTTTGCTAGAACTGAGGCGGGGGCTGGATTTTGCGCATCAGCGAATACCTTTTCTTGTCTTTTTCGCAGCAGTGACGTGATATGCTGAGCAGTCAGAAACTGTCAATGTGCCATCAGAGATGTGGCACTGCAGCTACGTCTAAACGTGACAAAATGTCCCCGCTGGACCACAGCTGGGCAGCGTCAGCGTGACTCGCCATCCAACTGGTCATGGCAGAGGCACTAGAGGACAGTGTTGTCGTACACGCTGCTGTGTTGCTGGAAGGATATATCGTTTATTTAGTTTCTCGATGAATCATTTTCAAGCAAACAATTTTGATGCTCGTCTACGAAACCTTAAAGATACATTTAAATAGAATTTATGTCATTAGGGAGAATTTACTGTGCAATTCTGGCTTAAAAAAAGAGATGCTTATCTAAAACTACACAACCTCGCCACAATCGCCACATTTCTGCCAGCACTGCTTGATCAACAAGTCTGGAGGTATGGCTGGTGTTTTCTCCATCTGGCTGCCACTGATAAGAACTTACAGGGGGCGGCTGGATAATAGTCTTGCGTGCTTAAAACGCACAGGGGGGGGGTGAGGGCAGTATAATTAATTCTGTGGGAATCTAGCAGGCAGGACCCCACAAAGCAAAGCTCACCTCCCCCTCGTGAGTACATTTGGGCTAAAGTGCCCCCCTCAATATAACCAATGGGGGAGCACGCATGGGTTGTTTACAGTCAAATCTGAACATTATAGTTTGAAGGCTTCACTATAAATGAGCTGTTTTTGTCTGTGGTATGAAATATGTAATGCTGAGTTGACCTCTCTTAAAACCATTGTGCTTTTGGTTTTTGAACCCCAGGTATCCTCAGAAGGATTGCGGGGGGGGGGGGGGGGGGGGGTTCTCCCAGCAGACGAAGGGTCATTTTTCACTGCCCCAGGGAGAACTGCTGTGGTCATTTTTTCAATTTGTTTTCTGACATTAGATGCTGGGCAAAATGTAAGCATGAGGGAAAAAACTCCGTCTCTCTTCCCTGGAAACTAAAGAGTGGACTTGTGAGCAGCAGATGATGATGTGTGACGTACAAGAATATGTAAGATAACAGTATGAAGGATCCCTAACCCCACCCTCCAATCCTGTTGGTTGCTCGTCCAGTGACGCAGAGCCTCTTTGGCACCAAGGGCAGTGGAAGCAAGCAGAATGTAAAATGCCCCATAATACGCTTTTGAGTCCTTGCTGGTAAATGGAAACGAATTTGGATTTATCCTGTCATGGTTTCACCGTAGTCTTAAAGCCACGTGAATCTGTATCACAGCAGCAGCCTGTTTCAGCGTGATAAAGCCGTTCGATCTAAAGGTTTCACAGTCCTGTGCGTCCTCAGGGCTACTGACAACCGTTCGTATTGTTCTAACACCTAGCAACACCAATAATTAGGAGGGTTTGCCTTGAAAAAATGCTTCTTATCTTAAAGTCCACCTTTGCTGGCTCATAATTGTTTCCATTTCATTATTGAATACAGAGGAGCTGAGCTTTTCTGTATTCTCCTCCACTTGATGTCTGATCGACAATAGCTGACAATAATCTCAAAATACTAAGGTTCCCTGTCAAGCTGTTTTGTTCACATATTTCCTTTTTCTCTATCTTTTTTTCTGACTAAGGATGTTAAAAAATAAAAAAGATGTGCAGCTCTCAGTTGTTGTTTTTTCTAATCAGGAAGAATTGTCTCTTTTTTCCTTGAACCAATTATTTGATTTTACAAGGAAGCCAAACACAAGATGAAAACTGAGGCTGGGGCACTGGTCAGAGACAGCAGGAGCTGCTTGGTAACACTGCAGCTGACCATGCCACTGCACCACTGGCTCTATTTGAGCCGCCTGAGAAATGTGAGATCAGAGTACAACTGACTCATCAACCAAAGAAAAATTATTATTTTAAAATGATGGTTGGCATGTGTTAAGACCAACCGGAAAATGGCTTTTCCTTCACATTATATTTCAGCACCCCTCTTTGGCTTCACTCCTCTTTTTGAAGCCTTTAATAAACTTTTTTTCTTTTTTGTCATCGCCCTCAATGAGTCACAGATGTTCAAACATCGGAACACTGAGAGCTGCAGAGGGCTTTAGCATCTCTAGGTTACACAACTCCTCTCCACAAGTGAAGAGGACTCCATCTGTTTTGATGAATCACAGACTGGTCTCTTCAGCATCATGTCTGATTGTACTTATGCAGGATGAAGAGCGAAAGAGGGGGAATGGTCAAAAGCTGCTTGTTGCTCATGTTGCATTGTACACATCAGACAAAAAAACTTGGCTATTGTTTTAGCCATGCTGACAATGTGGCTGCCAGGTGATGAACAAGCTTCACAAGTTTCACATCACAAG